CACAATAAATGGGGTTGTTCCAGCATCACATAGTATGGCTAGGACCTCCACAGATGCTGCTGGTGTACATGAAACAATGCTGGCAGTGCGACTAGCAGAGCCCAAGCTCATTCTGATTGGCAATTCGGAGAGAAAAAGCACAGTTCTACTTGCAAACTGAGTACATTTCACCCAAAATTAGATTGGAATTTTGACTCCAGTAATTCCAGTTTTAACAAAAGTAACTTTTAAGAGTGGAACAGAGTATTAATAATTCATGCTAAACTTAGATTTTTCAACAAATATTTTAAAAGTGAATAAAATAAAATGTGTTTGGACATGCCAAAATTGCTGAAATCTTTCATAACTCTTTTCATTCAAACATGCAAAATATGTCCATAGCATCCTTCCCATTAGTACCAACTCAATTTTAAGTACCCAAACTGTTAGCTTAGGGGCGGGCAATTATTTCAGGCTGTTACTGAGTTTAGACAAGCCACTGAGGGCCACATGACAGGGAGCCAGGGGCAGATTAATATTAATTTTCTACATTTTTAGGGGCTCCACGGGTCGGAGAGACCGGCCTGGTGGGCCGCATTCGGCCCATACATATTGCCCATCCCTGTGTTAGCTGCACTTGTCCTAGCACATGAGAAGGTAACAAGGAGAGAAATTAATACAATTCTGATTCTCTGGGGGACAAAAAATACTTCTTAGGACTGGACAGGACTCTAGCAGATGTCTTTATTAACAGATATACAGCTATAGCAATCTGAGACCCACCTGTTTGGTTCCGTTTCATAGCTTACTCCCTGTTAAAGGTGAACTCTTAAAATATACAATAAAGTATATTCTATATCCATCTATCCTAGGTTAAAGTATAAATATATATATTAAAATACACCTTTGTGCAAGTTTCTTTGTCAAGTTCTTTGTCAAGCTTCCTACCTTGATTATAAGAAAATATCTGTTTGAAAACAAAGAAAAAAGAAACACCCATCCCCATCCATGAACTTGACTACCCCACATTACAAAACAGATTAAATCACAGTATCAAAGGCAAAAAAAAATTGTAGCAGCCTTTCATTTAGCTGTTGGAAACAAACTATTGGTGTTGGTAAAACCTGTCTTTGTGATGTCACCACTGCTAGAGAAACCATCTGTTAACAAAAGTAAAGATCACATTTGACAGCAGAAGAGCATGGGAGGTTGAGAGAGAAATCAAGATCAAGCTTGGCTGGGTCATCACAGCAGCTAAACATTCACATACTAGCGCTGGGTACAGTTCCATCATAAATCTGCAAAAATGTCTCAGGCAGTTGACTGGTTAAACAGCCAGACAGGCCTGTGTAAAGTAGACCTTTTCAACCCAGAAGGACAGAAGGACCAGGACCATAAAGTGATCTGTTTTGTTGATGTCTCCAGCTTGAATGTGAAAGACAATGATCCAAAGGCAAAGAAAACTGCAAGCCAGTTCAGCAACATCTCTGCCCACTCAAATGAAATTGATCTGGAGGAAAAGGAGGTCATTGTAGTAAAGGACAATTTGAACCACGATCATTCTAAGACTCAAGGAACAGTTTGTCTCTTTAAGCAAGGTTCAACTGATGAACTTAGTGTTGTAAGCTGGCTCAACAATGACCTTCAGAAATATGCAGCTGGATTCCAACATGCACTGACCCCATCAGATAACCCTCAGAAGCACACAGGTAGCAACACTTCCATTAATCCATCACTGCCTAAGAAGATGGCTCAGGACAGTGACACATCTCTGCAGTTTGCCGGTTCTCAAAAAGGAAACAGATATCCAGATGATATTTCATGCTACATAAATAAACTGTGCTCACTAGTTATTCACTTGGCACGTAAAGAGATTACAGATAAAATAGAAGACACAGCCTCTAAGCATCCACTTCCATTAATCCATCACTGCCTAAGAAGATGGCTCAGGACAGTGACACATCTCTGCAGTTTGCCGGTTCTCAAAAAGGAAACAGATATCCAGATGTTTCATGCTACATAAGTAAGCTCAGCTCACTTGTTCTTCAAATGGCACATAAAGAGATTACAGATAAGATAGAAGGCACAGCCTCTAAACATCTGCAACAGGCAATTCATAACTCTTCTGGTGAAGTGAAAAACAGTAATCCCCACTCTTCTGGGAACAATCCTGCAGAGATGGTGAATGAATCCCCTCAGGCAACTACACCAACCCCCCACGGTAAGCTACCACCCCCCAAGGCACCTCAAGAGAAGGCTCCCAAAAAAGAAGATAACCCAGGTGCCAAGAAAACATCACTTTTCTATGGTGAGCTGTCCAGTCAAAAAGGCTGCAATGAAGGAGAAACATCTTCAAATACGCAACTGTGTCAGCAGAACAAATACTCCAGGCAAGATGATTCCGGTACTTCTGTCAGCAAAGGGCTAATGGTTTATGCAAACAAGGTTGCTTCAGACATGGTGTTCTCATTCTTGAAGACCATGAAAGTTGAAAAGACGGGCAACAAGCATGCACCAGCCTGCCTGGTTTTGAAGAAAGTAGTTCTCAAACACACCAGAGAAGTTCTCTCAGACTTGATAGACTCAGCAATGAAAAATCTGCATGGTGTCACAGGTGAGCTCATGACAGACTCTGGCTTTGTTGCCACAGTGAAGAAAAATCTATTCAATATGGGAAGCCAGAAGTCGACTGAAATTTTGGAAGCTATGGTAAGAAGGCTTTATAATGTCCTTTTATCAGAGCCAGATAAATCCAGGTCTCAAAGTCTAGCATATACCATACTGAAAGCAGGGCTCCCACCAGACTCAGAGTCTCAAAGCATGCAGTTTGCAGCAATGAAAAGTAAAATCCAGGGAAAAAATAAGGAAAAAGGTAATCCACTGATGCAGACCTGTGCTAAAAGCGTAAGCGAGCACACACTCAAGGAAGGAGTCACAAGGCTGTGTACAAAAACTACTTGCACAGCTCCAGATAAGGCAAAAGGGAGTCAAGAAAAAAATCCAGGAACAGCCAGCAATTCAACAGAATCCCTAGCAAAAGACCTCATTTTGACTTCCTTAACACTGATACAACAGCACCTATTACAACAGACAAGCAAACCAACAGGCAAAGAGTGTAGTGAATCAGGTGCCGCTTCATTTGGGCATGTTTCCCGCGACGCACATTTCGAAAAAGCTGGGAACAGCCAAAGTTCCAAGTCCCTTGCAGAGGCTTCTGGGTCGAGGCCAGCAGGGACAAGGAACCAACAGCAGCTTAACTCTCAGATGGGGGAGATATCAAGTATCCTCTTGTCCATCATACAGAAGGTCTTGCATGAAGCTGGGTTCAATAGTGAAGACAGCTCCAGCGAAACAAACAAGAGCTTAAAGCATACCTCTGCCAGCGAATGGGAGCCTGGCAAACAGGCCATAGCCAATCAGCCTAATTCAGCCATGGAGCAGTTTGGCAATATGGATCAGGTCAACAAGCAATTTATTGACCAACTGGTGGAAACTGCGATGAAGTTGTGTCTCTTTGTGGTCAAAGGAAGTGGCACTGACTCAGCTATAGGTGACTTGTCAGAGGAACCCAATGCATTTGATGCCTCATCTGCAAAAGCTCAAGCAACACCCACGATAGCTTCCCTACCAAAACAGAATGGAAACCCAGTTACAGGTTCATCCTCGGGTTCTCAAGTGATAGTGACCAACCAGAATGCCAACAACAACTCACAAAACAAAGAGCTTCAGGCCATCCTCCAGTGGGTGGTTGCTTCCCAGTTCAACGTGCCAAATCTGTCATTTATGCATGGAAACGAGGAGGATCTGAAAAAGCTTCCTCTTCTGGCTGAAAGAGCAGCCAAGAAAGGCCGCAGCGTGGGGGATATTCTCCAGGAAGTAATGAGGTACCTTGACAAACAGAATGATGGCACTGTGGGAAAAACAACTAACAGTGGACTGATGGACTGGTTGCTTACTAACCTGTGAATAAGTGCCACCTCTCCTCATGTTACTTTAACCCAGCTATCTTACCACCCTGCTGGAATAACAAAAATAATACAACCAATTTTCCTTAGAACTGCACTGAATTCCACAGGTTGTCACACTAACTGGGCAATATCATCAATTAAAAGAATACCAGCTCCACTGCTTTAAAGTTTTATTTAAGCACCTCAGCAGAGGTTAAAAAGATACCTCCTTGCCTAAGGGTTTAACATACTGAAATAAGATATACATGACTGGTGCAGTAGGGAATGAATCTAGTAGCCATGGCCATAAGAAATCCAGCTACCACCTGGTGGAAAGGGGTAAAGTACCAGGTTTCTTACTAAGGTATTATCCACAGACGTCCTGCAGTATTATCTTTTCCATCATCCTCAGACTAATATACATCAGGTAAGTTTTAATGCCCAATCTCCTCTAGTGTCTGGGCTTTCTTTTTCTTCTCCATGACAAGAATCTGAATATTGCAGGAGGTTGAGAGTGTGAGAAGAGAGGCCTTTATGACCTTAACTACCTCCCAATCACATTTTGGGTCCTCCACCTTCATAATAATCCTGCATTTGCATCAGTTCCTGCTCTGGGCTTTCATCAACAGCACTAGTAACAGCATGAAAATAACACGAGTCTTGTCAGGTTAAAAAAAAGTGGCACAAGTGACAAAGTTCTAGTATTTCATGCTGACACTATGTGGTAAAACTCCCCCAAGTAGTAGAGGCACTGGAACCAGTTGGCAGACTAGGACAGGTAAGGCAACATGATTTTACTTTGTTCATTTATGGAAGATTTTCTTCACCATGAAGTGCAGCTTGCTTACCAGTGGCTCTAGTTTCCCTCAAGTGCAGATGCCCAAGTCCCCTGTGGGATCCAGGGTGGGGCTGGAGCCTCAGGCTGGCAGGGGATACCCAGGGAACTAAGCAAGGAGCAGGATTAGGAAAGGCGATCCACTACTGCTCCCTACTGACCAGGGGAAGAGGAAGCACCAGGATGCTTATGCCCTGCTCTAGCCAGGGGCCACTGGAAGCAGCTGCATATATTGCCACGCTTGGTAGCCGTGACATCCAGTGGCTCTCACCTCCATCTGCTATGCTGGGTTCCCCCACCCAGCGGGGAGCAGTTAGATAGCATGCCAGGCTAGGCTGGGGAAGACAGCATTGGTGGGTGGGTCCCCCACTTTCAGCACCTCCTCCCTGCCCAGAGGGTATGCTGCAGGGGAGGGTGGGGAAGAGGAGGAAGGCGGCGACCAAGCAGGGAGCAAGCACTAGAAGCAGGGGACCAACCTGCTGCCACAGCTGTCCCTGGCTGAGCCTGGTACCCCATTCAGCCTCTCACCGTAACGCCCAATTGGAATAGGGTAGGAGTGGCTCTAAGTCTTCCTCTACCTTGAGTCAGCCAAGGACAGCAGCAGTGGTAGGCAGTTTCTCCCTTACTATACCTAGAGCAAGCCCTGCTGGAGAAGGATAGGAGGGAATGGAAAGGAAGGGGATGGAAGGTGCTCCTGAGCATCAGGGCCCATGATACACATGGCGCACAGTGCATGGGCTATACCAAGAAGCATGGGTGCTGCACAGGGTTTGCTCCTGGTCTGGCCCAGTGACTCTCATGCAGCGTGTGGGGCTGGATGAGTTTGACCCTGACACCCTCCCCATCTTGAAACAATAAAGACAGTGGAGTCGTATCATACACGCATTTAACTTACACAAATTCGACTACATGCGCTCGGCAAAAAAGCAGCAAAACACTTTAATGATTTAATTTCTGAATACGATCTCTCCATGGAACTAAGCCTCAAAAATCACGTAGTATTATGGATGATTTGAGACCGTACCAAGAAGTGTCTGAGCAGCTCAAGGAGACAACAGCAACAGCTGCCGATCACCATGTTTTTCAAGAAAAAACAACCAGCAGCAGATGAGCCTACGCAATCAACTTCTCGAGCTGAACCAAAGCCAATCACTTTGTCTATGACTCACTCTCCATCACCCAAGCCTGGCCCATCATCTCCTGGATAAACATCCAGCCCTGACGACCCCCCAGTATGGGCGACTTAAGGGATTTTCAAGGGTAATTTTGCCTATACGCGATGTTCGCCTTACACGCTGACTTTAGAACCTAACCGCCACGTACTAGGCGACTCCACTGTACCACAAGTGTTTATCCACCCGTAGAGACACTGAACTGAAAACAAAAGTAGGTATTATTAATCCCTGGCCTCTCTCATCATGGCTAAGGGGTACTGTACAGCAAAAGAAACACCTCCACTAAAAAAAAATATAAATAATAATAATAATAACAACAACAACAAAATTGGTGACTAAGAGCAAGGAGACTACAGGACATTCTTGGTAGGCCCAGACATTACACAGTAGGAGGGAGACAGATTTGAAGGCCAAAAGGAAAAAAAAGTGGGCACAGAACAGGACAGAAGTCTGAA